AAAAGAAAATTCATTCAACTTGGACAATTCATATATTTACTGATTTAGCTTCAAGGCATAGCAATCATCAACCCTTTCAACCCTTGTTGAACAAATAACAAATAAGCGTCATAAGATAAAGTTTCAACATTTGATCCATTGATGAATAAACAAGAAAAAAGTGTCACAGATATATTTAACAGAGTTTTTCTCGACTTTGGGGTTACGAGTTTTACGTAAGTAAAAGTACTTCTTCCACCACTGCAGTACACTCTGAACATTTTTTGAAATTATCTGTATAATAAAGAGACCAGGTTATCAGACCTCGCTGATACTTTAACAGAACTCATACTAATACTCTGTACTCTTTGTACCAACAGTAAATGTCATTACTCTTTTGGTGTTTCCTCCTGTTTGAATAACGTTGGCTAAAAACTTTGCAGCTGTGGCTCAGGTAGGGTAGAGCGGTCGTCCACTAATCAGTATGCACGTTGAAGTGTTCTTGGGCAAGATGCTGAACCCCAAATTGCCAGTGAATTTGTGTTAATGTGTTAATTTCTGTTAATTTCCCTTAGCCGCTGCTCATTGTGTGAATGTGTGTCAATGGGGTGAATGTGATGTAGTATAAAGCTCCAGAAAGGTGGGAAGACTAGAAAATCAATATACAAGAACAGAGCATTTACCATTTTAGAAAAATATTGAGCTGAAAAATAAACAAAAATATTTATGACCCATTTTTGAAGATTTACATCTTCAGCAGAAACAAACGGCTTTGGACTGAGAGCATTGACATGCAGGGAAATTCAGGAAGTAACCAACAAACAGGACCTAAACACAATCTGTGATGTAGGTGAATCCAGATTTCTTCTTTCTCTAAACTCATCAAACTTCAATCTCTTGTCAATATTCAGTTTGTAGTAGTCGCCATGGTGAATGACAAACCCTCAGAGCCAGTATAAAGCTGGATGTTTGTAGCACGCAGACATTTTAAGGTACTCAAAAGTATTTTATTATGAATTAACTTTGACCCTACATTTTTGCAGCTGAAAAAATGTGTTCAAATATTTTAGAGTCTGATGGCAACAAACATTATGAAAATTGTGACAACCTTGAGTCGACTTACCAATGTTTAGTGAGATCTCTTTAACCAACCTTGCAGAATCTAGTGGTCATCTTGCAGAGGTACTGGCCTGAGTCGTCAGTCCTGACTCTGGACAGATGAAGTCTGACATATCCCGTACTGAGAGCGTCTTTGTCACACTGCACCCATCTTGCAAACTGCACTTGGTGTCGCCCCTCAACACAAAAAACCATTCCTCTGTGACGTTGATGTTTTTCTCTGCCTGATTGTTCAAAGCCATGAGGCTCTGCCACTACTGAGAGGAAGAGAAGGAGAGAGAGGAAGGAGCTAACAGTTCACACTGGTCAAATATACACATAGAGTTAAATCACCAACTGTTAATCCATAAAACCATCAGAGTATCTTAGTACCCTTGTTTTCTGAAGTTTAACCATACAGTGTATTCATTTTCAAATCCTGTAAGCTGGCATGAACAAAAGAGGACACACGCTGCGTACAAACATCTGCACCTACCACACCTTTCAGTCGTGCAACAAGTGGAGAGATAAACATGGGTTACAGATAAACCTTAAAAAAAACAATATTAAGTATATAAAAAGTCCCAGAGGAATGTTTTTGAAAACATGGGTCATGAATGCACAGATATGACTCCCCTCCTGTATTTGCATTATACAATCCACACTAGCAGTTCAGAGAGGTTGTAGGCTAGACACAGCAGTGCTTTGAGCTAAATGCTAACACCAACATGCTAACATGTTTTGGAGACACGGTGTTGACCATGCTCACCATCTGAGTTTCGTGTGTTACCATGCAAACAAGCTAATTAGCATTAATCACAAATTACATTTCAGGCTGATGGGAATGCAATGGGTTTTGCAGGTATTTGGTCACAAGTTAAACGTTTGACCTGATGATGGCGCCAGAGGTTAAATGGTCACCAAACTTGTTACACTTCATCCTCAGGGGGACATGAATGTCTGAGGATTACCAAAATAAGTAGGATAAATCTACTGGGCATCATGAACAATGTCAAGTGGATCCATCAATACTTGAGATATTTCTAACTTTCTAAGGTTGTTGAAACACCCAGATTACAGAGAACAAGATCTCAATGTATGTGAGAGTAGTGAAGTCAGTTACTGAGGCTGATTGTACACCCATCATGTGTCATAAGCCAAGATGAAGAGTCACAATGACTCAGCTTATGAACAAACAACGCTAGAGGAGAAAATCTTTGCATTACGATAATAATAAATAACAATACTAATCAAATACAGAGAAGCCTACTTGTATAGCAATTCTCTTAACAATTTGTACAGTATATGGATTACAGATGACACAGTGGCAGCATGATGTAGCCTCTGTCAAGGGAAAATAAAAAACCCATCAAGTCAAGACAAAGAGTCACAATGACTCAGCTCATGAACAAACAACGCTAGAGAAGAAAATAGCTCACTTGCCACTTTCAGTTCATGTTCTGGCTAAACAACATGGCTTGGCTTAAAAAGTGGAAAGGTCAAGTTTAAACATAGTTTTATTTGTCCCCTTGGGAACATTTGTTTTGAACTCCACACTACAGCACACAGGCAGTAAGAACACAGGCAGTGGCACACAGCTTTGAACAGCAGACAGGAGGTAGGCATGCTACCTTCCTGCCACATCTGAGTGTGAGTGGGTTTTTATTACCGTTAATGATGATACTGAAAGCAAGGCCCACAAGGTTGCGTGAAAAAAGCCTCTCCTTTTTGCCTCTCTCTCCTGTGTTACAGGAGAGAGAGCTGTTAACTGATCGTACGGATTCAGTGATGTATCTTCTACATGAAGGTGTTGAGGTCCCAGAGTCTCAGGATGAACAGTTTGTAGGACGAGTCCAGTGTGACAAAGACGTCCTCAGAGAAGGACGAATCAGACTTCATGTGTCCAGACTCAGGACTGAGGACTCGGGCCTGTACCTGTGTGAAGTGCTCACAAATTACGGCAGCAACTATAATGAATGCAGACTCATTGGTACTGGTAGGTTGACTCAATAGACCTTAGAAGAACTTTCTCCTCAGATTTATTTGAACTTTGTTCATGTTTTTTGGATGAATAGAAACTGCTGAAGATATTCTGCTGCAGTAATCAGTGCTGGATTGACTGGGCTGCTGAACAGATATGGTCATATTCACTAATTCTACAGAGGAAATGCTGACACCCAGGGTAAAAACCAATTCCAGCGTATGACCACAGTTATGTGTTTGCCCATAGACATGTTGTTTAAAGTTAAAAGAAGTGGCTATATTTGAAAAGTCAGTTGCAGAACATTTGTGAGCAGGCATGTGCACACATGGGGCTCAAGCACCTGCCCTTTTTCTTCCTCAAGAGAAAGTGCCCTTTATCTGCTGTGCTTTTTTTTAAAAATAAATGAATTTATATATTATACATTATATATATTCCTGTTTGCGTGCAGCTTTCCTGTCAAACAAATATATTTACTGAATAAAAAATCTAAATATCAGGTCGGGAGATGAGACTGTCGAGTTCCGACGCTCTCTCTCTCTCTCTTTCTCTCTCTCTACCTCTCTCTCGCTCCGCGTCTCTACGCAGCATGCACAGACAGGCAGCAGCCCCTCCCAGTTGTGTTTTTTTTGGCTTGTGTGGAGGTGAGTGGTGATGAACAAAAGACTAAGCTGCCAGTGCCTTGAGTTAACAGCTAATTTGCAAAAAGACAAAAGGCATATATAAGTCTTGCTAACATGCATGACTCATGAGCTGAGCTAATGTAATGAGAATCGGATAAAGAAAATAAATAAAGCATATCACAACAGAGCTTTCTCGGTTAATGATCTCGACCTACATCAAGTCTCCTATACCCTGAAATGTTATGTTCAAATATGCAGATTAGATTGTTTTAGTTCATTTAGAAGAAATCTACAGAAGCAAACAGACGAAGTGTAGTAGGCTTAAAACAAAATCTAAATGTGTATTTTGGAAGCTTTCTTTCCATAAGAGTAAAAGAAGATATAAAAGTAAAATACACCAAAATCTCAAAATTGACCACTGAATAAGTGTCCTGCCTTAAACAGTAACTTTATATTTATGATCGTAGGCTACTCATCAAATAACTATCCATCACCGTCATTTATTCTAAATATATACTAGTAGCATAGAAAACATACAAATTGTGACATAGTTTGCTTTGCTGTTGCCTGATCCTGTGATAAACCTAGTGAATACTGAAGAAACCATGGTGTCTCTGTGAACTGATCATTTTGTAGAAACATGTTGAGTATTAAACAATTGCGTGAGTGTAAAGGAATTTTAAAAAAAATTGTAAGGAAGTCAGAGTTGTGTTAATATATTTAACGTTTTGTCAAAAACCCACCAAGATGTCTGTGCACACAGTTCAGCTAGCTGGCTATGGTCATTAGTTTGCAACCAGGATTCAGTTAAAAACATAAAATCGATGTTTGCAGACATAATATAATCATTTAAGATAAAAGTCTTGCTTGAAAGTGATCTCACATTGAAGAGAGACATTTCAAATGCATTTGTTATAGATTATATATAGATTTACTTCTTTGTTTTCAGTTTTGAAACATGGCAGGATATTTATCAGACAGATAGGCTACTGAAGAGCTCACCTGTGGCCCTTTAATAGCGAACAAATGTGTTTTTCCACGCGAGGAGACTGGATAGCATTTTGAACAACAGTGTGTCTCCTGTGAGCACAGCAGGTAATGTGCCTGTATATTTTGTAATCATCGTATGAATGTTCAGTAGCGGGGCGCTCTCATAATCGCACTGCTGAATGAATATAAATTATGGGAAATACCTCCCCTTTCAGTGAGCTCCGCTGAAAGCCATGGTGCAGCCAGTTCGTGGAAATGTGTCTCCGGTCTGAGCTCACCATCCCCTGCGATGATGATGCCACCGTGTGAAAACATTTAGTATATTCAAATAGGCCTACTTTTTATTTTCAGTTTACTTTCTTGGAAGAACAAGGCGGGCTTTTAGAAAATTACATCTCCACTTCTGTGAAATCACGCCTCCTGCTGCACCGCCCCCTCTCCAGTTAATGGCTTTGCTTTAAACTGTGATGCTCACACTTGTTCAACTTGGGGGATTTGATCTTCTTGATACTAGACCTACAGCAGGGCACTTGTCTGGAAACCAGGAAACCAAGAGCGCAAATGTTTCCAGCCAGATTTGGGATGAATATCTATGTTAAAATACTTCCTCTTCATAGGATTAACCTTGGAGTTGACAAGATGCCATAAACTCGTGGCAAGTAAGTAGTGATGAAAACTATACTTGTTTTATTGTTACATTTAATTAAAACAGGCTAGACTTTATTTTAGTATTGTTCAAATAGGACACTTGTGGGGTTTCTATCATGCCCTTTTCCAATAAACATTATAAAAGTTATAATTGCACGTTATCTTTTACATTCAGCCAGACCCGAAGCAAGTTCACTTCTGTTTCTTGCTGCAGCTCAAACACTGCAAGATCTTCTTTGACCAACTTAGAGACCTCTGAATCTAAATTTAAGAGCAGTCAGGGTAAATGTGATAAATACCTTTTATTCAGATTTTTACAAAAGTCCAAACACCTATTTTTTTCACTTCAAGCACTGCACATACACAGTTTCATTCATAAGCAGCTGATTAGTTTTTCTGTGGCCCATATGATACTGGATATTTCAGGCAAGTACCGGTATCAGTATTTGGGAGTTTAATTAATGTGATGCTGGTATATCAGCCAATAGACGTCTTTTAACAGAGACATAAGAAAAACCATCATGACGTGAATAGTTTAATTTTTATTGTATTTTATTTTTTTACACAAACTGGGCATTTTATAGCTGAAGAATCAACTCGTCAGTTCTCTCTGAGGTACAAACTATGTAGTGATGTCAATGTATAACCACGATACACTAAATAACCATGAACCCGGTTTTACTCATCTGCCAGCAAACACACGGATATACTCAGTTGAAACTGGCGCCACCTTGTGACAGAAATACATTCCTACAAACACTGAAGACTTTGAAATGTTCAATATTTCGACCTCTTCCTCTCTGTCTCCTCTCACAGGGAGAAGATGATCTGCAACATCCTGCTGCTCATCAGCCTGACCTCCTGTGTCTGTGGTTAGTTTACACCTTCATTAATTATCCAGAAAGAGAAAAGTAGAAAAATTCACTTTCAGCCTCGCTAACACATTTTATTACTTTCCTATTTAAATGTCAGTGAAAACATCTGCAGAGCTCTTTGTAGCTTGTAGAAACAGAAACATGTGTAGATGGAGTTTAAAGGCTCACATGTTAAAGTTGTCAGTTTGTCTGCTCCTCACTTTCCCTCTCTGTCTCCTCAACAGGAACTTTTGTAGTGAATGTGACACAGACCTCCTATCAGGCAGAGGAAAACAAGAACATCACACTGGAGTGGACCTTCACAACCAAAACTGACAGGCCTCCAGTCCCTCTTTTCATCTGCTGTCAGCTGTTAACTGATCGTACGGATTCAGTGATGTATCTTCTACATGAAGGTGTTGAGGTCCCAGAGTCTCAGGATGAACAGTTTGCAGGACGAGTCCAGTGTGACAAAGACGTCCTCAGAGAAGGACGAATCAGACTTCATGTGTCCAGACTCAGGACTGAGGACTCGGGCCTGTACCTGTGTGAAGTGCTCACAAATTACGGCGGCAACTATAATGAATGCAGACTCATTGGTACTGGTAGGTTGACTCAATAGACCTTAGAAGAACTTTCTCCTCAGATTTATTTGAACTTTGTTCATGTTTTTGGATGAATAGAAACTGCTGAAGATATTCTGCTGCAGTAATCAGTGCTGCACTGACTGGGCTGCTGAACTAGACTCTACAGACATGTTGTATGGACACAAACTAACATGTCTGTTTGTCTGAGCCGTCCACCCAGTACCTGTCTCATGAGTTTTTAGACTTTGTAACTTTATAATATTTTGCAATATTTGTGGCTTAAATGCAATAAGAACTGTCTCAACTTAAATGAAGTTCTATCACCAATAATGAGCTTTAAAAGCAGCATGAGTCATGTTTGTTTAATCTCTAAATAAACTGAAGCGTAAAATCACAGCATTATGTGGTGGAGGACTATTTCTTTGCCGGCAGCAAGATAAGTTCGCCGGCTGCTGGCTGTAGCTTCATATTTTGCATGAGAGAGGTATCAATTTTGACATCTGACTCTCGGCAAGAAAGCCAATAAGTAATGTATTTTCCAAAATTTCAATTTGTTCCTTTAACAGGTAAAATGACTCCAGGTACAAAAGTACTGTGGACTGGAGAACTTTAAGAACTTTATGTAGGTTTTTAAAAAAGTCCTTCACATGGCTTCAAACCACAAACTGCATTGTTCCCACATTCTGCACGTCCTATTCTGACATTTCTAAACTAATAAAAACTTCAAGAAGCTTCTTAGAGATAAAATGGACAATCCTGTAAATATGAAAACTCCATAATAATAATAATCTGCTGGTTCTTTTGTTTCTCCGTCAGTAAAATGTTTTTTCATCACATGAATAACAGAAACATTTGTTTTGATCTCTACAGCAGCCAGTGATCGGCCCACAGATGAGAAACAAAAGCCAACAAACCAGGGAACCACCTGCTGCTGTAGATTAGGTCTGACTGTAGTGCTGCTGTCCTGGTTTATCTCCTGTATCACTGCTGAACATTTGTAGTCATGCATGTAACAACACTACAGCCATGCTAACGCCTCTGTGACGCTGGATTTAGGCACAGTGTGCTTTGAGCTATATGCTAATGGTACCAAAGTGATAAAATTCATCCTGAGAGGATCATGAACATGTGACAATCTATCCAGTTATGGAGACATTTCACAAGAAACTGTAAATGTGATCCTCATGGTGGCGCTCGAGGAAAAGTCATGTCTCACCAAAGTCAGCAGGATTCATCCTCTGACCACCATGAATGTCTGTACCAAAGGTCATGGTTATCCATCCAGTAGTTCCTGAGATGTTTCATTCTGGTTTCATTTCTGTGAGGGTTCAAACTAACTTGGTCATACGAAGTGTTGTCCGACACCGTCCGGAGACAAAAGTGTCCACGCTAAAATCCTGCAGCCTCCTCCTGGCTGCTTCACACTGCCTACCTGATCTCTCCCCAATATCTTTGTGTCTTTGTAGTCTGGATTCAGTGAAACTACAAACAGAGGTAACAGCGCACAACTTCAGACTTCTTCACTCTGAAAGCATTTGTGGTTTTAAACTTGGTTGTAAACAGACAGAAGTTGTTGAGTGAAGACAAAAAAGACAGTTTGAGAGAGAAGTTGCCTTCAGTACTTTAACACCTCCGTGTACCTGGCCGATCACTGCATGAAGTGGACGTGATAATCAGACTCTTGTTAGGACTCAATATTTCACCATGGCCACAGGGAAAATAGCTGTTTCTCATTGGTTGGCAGGAGTTAAAAATGTGTTACACCTCAGCGTGATGACCACATATCAGGTAGTACTGATGCTTTGTGCTGCATCATCAGTAAACTCTTTACGTTTTGTAGTCGATGATGAGTTTGTCACTGAGAAGATATTTAACCTTTTTTTCAGTTGTTGTTGGTTTAACTTTCATTTATTAAACCAACAACAACTAAAAAAAGGTTAAATATCTTATAGCAGCAGACTGCACACATTGACAAAACTACAGCTTCTTTACTGTGTTGTGCAATTGATACTGTAATATACACTCACCTAAAGGATTATTAGGAACACCATACTAATACTGTGTTTGACCCCCTTTCGCCTTCAGAACTGCCTTAATTCTACGTGGCATTGATTCAACAAGGTGCTGAAAGCATTCTTTAGAAATGTTGGCCCATATTGATAGGATAGCATCTTGCAGTTGATGGAGATTTGAGGGATGCACATCCAGGGCACGAAGCTCCCGTTCCACCACATCCCAAAGATGCTCTATTGGGTTGAGATCTGGTGACTGTGGAGGCCATTTTAGTACAGTGAACTCATTGTCATGTTCAAGAAACCAATTTGAAATGATTCGAGCTTTGTGACATGGTGCATTATCCTGCTGGAAGTAGCCATCAGAGGATGGGTACATGGTGGCCATAAAGGGATGGACGTGGTCAGAAACAATGCTCAGGTAGGCCGTGGCATTTAAAGGATGCCCAATTGGCACTAAGGGGCCTAAAGTGTGCCAAGAAAACATCCCCCACACCATTACACCACCACCACCAGCCTGCACAGTGGTAACAAGGCATGATGGATCCATGTTCTCATTCTGTTTATGCCAAATTCTGACTCAACAGAAATCGAGACTCATCGGACCAGGCAACATTTTTCCAGTCTTCAACTGTCCAATTTTGGTGAGCTCTTGCAAATTGTAGCCTTTTTTTCCTATTTGTAGTGGAGATGAGTGGTACCCGGTGGGGTCTTCTGCTGTTGTAGCCCATCCGCCTCAAGGTTGTGCGTGTTGTGGCTTCACAAATGCTTTGCTGCATACCTCGGTTGTAACGAGTGGTTATTTCAGTCAAAGTTGCTCTTCTATCAGCTTGAATCAGTCGGCCCTTTCTCCTCTGACCTCTAGCATCAACAAGGCATTTTGCCCACAGGACTGCCGCATACTGGATGTTGTTCCCTTTTCACACCATTCTTTGTAAACCCTAGAAATGGTTGTGCGTGAAAATCCCAGTAACTGAGCAGATTGTGAAATACTCAGACCGGCCCGTCTGGCACCAACAACCATGCCACGCTCAAAATTGCTTAAATCACCTTTCTTTCCCATTCTGACATTCAGTTTGGAGTTCGGGAGATTGTCTTGACCAGGACCACACCCCTAAATGCATTGAAGCAACTGCCATGTGATTGGTTGATTAGATAATTGCATTAATGAGAAATTGAACAGGTGTTCCTAATAATCCTTTAGGTGAGTGTATTTCTACTGTTTTATTCATGTCATTATCTCTGTTTGTATGTTGTTTTGTGTGTTCACTCTTACTTTATGTATTTACTGTGAACCTGTCAGCAACCTTTTGCACAAATAAGCTGTGAACCCTTAGACAGTTCTGGCTGTTCAGGATCTACCACTGCCTCTAAAGTCCGTTTACTAATCATAGACTTCTCATTTCAAAAACATGGACTTTCAAGTTTCAAGGTTGATGTAAACCATACTGGTGGAACAGGACTCTGACTGAGAAAGAAAAGAGTGATATTAAAAAAAATAGGAGATGTTGAGATCCAGGTATGACTTTCAGAAGGAGTCTGTTGTTCTGCAAACGAGCTGAGAAACTTTCTGTCTCTCTACTTCTGTAGTGACAAAAACTAAAACACTTCCTCCAGGAAATATTGTTTACATTAAGGTTCTAATAAATAATGTATTGTATGTTTTTTGTGTAATGTAAGTCAGCAAGTTTTTTAGTTCATTCATTAAATGCTGTAAAAACATTTGTTAGTGAAACTTTTCTGTGTCTTATTCTGGGATTTAAAAAGCTTGGCCATCACAGTTTAAACACTAAAGAAAAATAAATGTATACTTTTTTAAAATTTAGTAAAGTTTTGTGTAGAAGATGTTTTTCAGTGAACTGGCCGCTTCTCTATTTGATGATTTGACTAAACAGCTGAATAATAATTTTGTCTTCTCCTCCTGCAGTTTGAGCTGGATTAGACAAATTCACCACGTCAATGAAAACATTCAGATCCAGTCATGTTGAAAATACATTGAAAAAGTCCCTGAAAACGTCTGTTTACAGAAAAACACTTATAAAGTTTATACAGCCTGTTACACAAATGTAAAACACAGTCCCTCCATGCTCTTACAGTCAAATTACATAAAAATAGCAAGGGATATTTTCACACAGTGGAAAACAATAGTCAAACTTTATGTTTACAAACCGGTTTAGTAAGTGCTTCACAGATATAGAAGTGCTTTGCAGAAGAATAAAACTTTCTGTTTGCTGACAGACAAAAGAGAATAATACTAACAAAAATCAGATAAATACTTAAAGAAGTACAATTGCTGGATTCATTGTTTCCATCTAATGTCTATTATTGATGTTTCAGTTTAGTTATTGTTGAGCCACTTCAAAGAGTCAAAAATGCTTTGCAGAAGGATAAAATACTTTTGTATAAAAGGAGAAATAATAAAAAAAATACACACAAAAAGCAAATTTCTACTTGAATGATGCTTAGGATGTATCTAAAATGTAACCATTATTAATTATTGTAAAACATCTTTTCTGACAGCACATAAACGTCAGATTAAAACAGCATGACTCAAAGTCCTAACGTCACATGTTGGATGTTTGTCTTCTCCTCCAGGCTGCTGCTGGTTTCATTTTATTTCAGTTTGCGGTGAAATCAACACGCAGAGACTTAAACATGCTGCACACTCTGTGAGTCTTTGTTCACGTTAGTTCCTGTTGGTAAACGCTGCTGTGGATGCAGTTTAGAGCCTGAACTGTTCTCAGAAGACCTCTTTGCTGGTGAAGTCAGGTTTAAGTCTCTGTCAGACTGACTTGTGGTCAGGCCTGGATCAAGGTGCATGCTGGGTAAATAGTTTATGCTTAATGCTCCACTCAGCTCTCTCTTCACAGCAATAATCTGATCCAGAGTCTGTATTTCTAAAGAGCCCCAGCTGTAGCTCCTCTTTTGTCTCTCACTGATGTTTCAGTTTAGTTACTGCTGAGTTGTGATGCAGTGGAAATGTTTCAGATCAATCGCCTGCAGTCTAACACATGATGAGACATGATGCTCACTGTGACGGACGGTCTGACTCAAGTTTCAAGGGGCAACACACTCACATAGAAATGTACCGTTACTGTATGACAATAAAATACGTACAAATACACACCACTACAGTAAACTGAGAATAATGATCAGCAGTCAAGTCTGTGTGATTAGTAACCTGGCTAAAAGAGGAGCACACAGATGAGTGAGATCGTAGGGTTTCTTTTAGTTTTTTTTATGGTGATGCTGCTGTTTAATTATTGCTGATGCAGTCTGAGATTGTTCCAACAACACCAACATTACCAACATTGTTGGGGTTCTTCAGACAGTTTGGAACCAGAATGTTATGCCATGTAACTCGGTTTTGATCTTTCTCATGAGCTGAATGAGGGAATGTATTTCCTGTTCTTGACCTGTGAGACTGACATGAGACAAAAGTAAGTGCAAACAAATCATAACACAAAATAGATGAATTTAAAACAACAGTAGAGCAAACTTACCACATTTTAACACGGACAAAACAGCGATGATAGCCGAACCAAGTAGAAAGATTGCGACCTGTACAGCTCCAAAAAATGTTTTAACTTTTAACTCATATGAACTGACTCCCTTCTCCGGCCCCTCTGGTTTGTGTTTTGCAGCTGCATGAAGACAGAAAACCAGTGTTTATGTCTGATAACAGGAGCATCAACTCAGCAGTGTTGGACCACCACTTCAACAACATTTATACCAAATCAGAGACAATGAGAAACTAAATAAACAAGTAAATATCGGTCTCACATCAGATGACATAGCGGCAATCAAACAGTTACCAGTCACCTGACAGAAGTTATAGCAAACTTATTTACTTATTTACCAAAACCTGCTGAACAGTCTGACTAAGAAACAAACTGTGTTTTTCCATAGTTTCCTTGGATCAAGTGAAATTTATTGGTGTGTTCATATTGAATTATCCACCATTTTGTGCTTCATGAAATGTTAAATTAAGTTTCTTCTTCCTCTGTTTTTCACTACATGTCTCAAAATGTGAAACTCTAAAACATTTTCCTTTAAATAACCAGCAGAAGTGAATAAATCAACAGTGAGTCAGTTTCAACTCATTCACTGTTTGTCCTTCATTTCATGTTGATATACTAAAATCAGTTTGCAGAGATTTGGAAATTACATTTAGCTGACGCTTTTATCCAAAGCGACTTACAATTTCTATACATGTCAGAGGTCGCATACCTCTGGAGCAACTAGGGATTAAGTGTCTTGCTCAGGGACAAAATGTCAGATGTGTCTCAGTGGGGGATTGAACCCGGGTCTCTCACACCAAAGGCAGGCATCTTATCCATGTCCCGTCACCACCCCCAATTACTTCTTGTGAATTAATCTCAGTAAATATGCTGAGTGTTTGTCAACATGTTATTGTCACAGTAACCAGATGGTGCAGTGGTTTATGTTGCACATTTTAAAGTAGCTACTAAAAGAAATGTTTTGCCTTTAAATCAGATTTGTGCATCACATTTATGAGGCAACAGTTGGCCTGTGATACACTACCATGTAACCATGGTAACAGCTCGCTGACCCACCTTCAGGTGTGGTGAGGAACACGTCACTGTTCTCTCCACGAGAGGTCACGTTCAAGACAAACTGTTCTGTGGGTATAAATCAGGAGGCGATTAGCTTCTCGTCTGTGTTGTCTGTGCAGCAGAAACATGTCCATCCTGCACTAGAGCAGCACACACTCTTCCTAAAGCAACATGTGTCCTGCTGAGAGTCCTGCTGAGTCAGCTTACCAGAGGTCTGCAGCACCCATCTTCTCAGGTCCTGGTCATAATCAGCAGCCAGATCACACCAGTAAGCTCCAGAGTCGTCAGTCGTGACTCTGGACAGAGAAAGTCTGAGTCGTCCGTCTCTGAGGGCGTCTTTGTCACACTGTACCCGTCCTGCAAACTGCTGATGCTGAGACTCTGGGACCTCGACACCATTAACCATTTGATACAAACGCTTCACAGGCTTTGACTGGAGAAAACAAAGCAGGTTGGTGAGAGACATGTCAGCTTTGGTGGGACTGTCCCAGCTGATGGTGATGTTGTCGCCCTCCTCTGTCTGATAGAAGGTCGAAGTCCTTTTCACAACAAACGCCCCTGTAGATGAGAGAGAGGGCAAAGAGAGGCAGGAGAGAGACATTATGTAGAGTCAGACCTCAGTCTTTACCTCATTTCAGCCTGTCAAGAAACTGACTGTTTATGGCAAATGATTTAAATTCAATACCACAGAAGGGGCTCTGCTTGTTGTATCTGAGCAGTAAAGACGATTCTGTCACTTGAGTGTTCAGTCTGAACTAATGCAGCGCTTTAGATATCTGTGTCTTTATCATGTTCACCAGGAGTCACAGTTACTGACTCTTAAACATGAAAATAACCACCAGAGCTGCCACCAGTCGATTAACAGTTGATCGAAAGAAAATTAATTGTCAAATATTTGCTGCTTCCAGCTTCTCATGCAGAGTTGCTGTTTATTTTTATAATATTTTAAAGTGAATGAAATATGTTTTGGTTTGAACTGTAGGTCACACAAAACCAGCAGTTTAAGGACATCACTTTGGGCTCTGGGAAGTTGTGATGGGGTGATTTCCCTCACTTTGTTTAACATTTCATAAACTAAACGATAAGTCAATTAATCAACTAAATTAATGTCAGATTATAAGATAGTGATAATCAATTTTAACAGCCCTACTAACCACAGATAGAGGAGGTCAGGCCGACAAGCAAAAGGATCCAGATCATCTTCTCCCTGTCAGAAAGGAGACAGTGTTATTAGAGGAAGAAGATTTAAATGTATTAAAACAGGACAGGTTGAAGATTATCTGAATGCTGAATGTATTTTTGTGAATCCTCATCATGAATAAGTTGTTCCTTTAAGGTTTGTATCAATAACAGATCAGTCAAAATTCTAATTAAAGGCCACAGAGGAGCATCTTGGTGTTTTAGAAGTCTGTATTTTTATTCAAATGGCATAAAATCAGAAAATATACACTTAAAAGTAGGCCTACTTTTTAGTCAATTATTATTTAAACTACCCCAACTGCTGTATTTCAGTTATCCCATGTCTATAGGCCTAGTGTTAACATATAGACTGATATGTTGTTTAAGTGTGTTCTTACACTGATATAGTAATGCCCTGTGAGGGATGTACAACCGCGCATGTGCAGAAATAAAAATGAGAGAAGTACGAGCTCCCCGTTCTGGTTGAAGCAACGATGTGTGTTTTATTATTCCACGGTTAAGTAAGCTGGTATTCCTACACTAAAGATGACAGCACCAACACCTAGTATGTTATCATGACTGTAAATTGTTTGTTCAGCTTTAAGGCAAGTTTCACCCCTCTGATAATGTATAAATGTTTATAATGTTAAAATGTTTTTATTTCAAATTATAACCAATCTAGTGTTCATGTGCTGTTCTCTTGTCCATACTGTGAGCTGCTGGTAACATCAGAGTGACTTGTTTCATGTAGTTTGTGTGTGAATTTATTGAATTTGGCAGCTAAAGTTTTACAATAACAAGGTCCTACCTGTTGATATGTTCCTGCTATAGATGTGTTGTTGTCTGTCAGCTGGTCCCAGGATCCATGAAGTTCTCCACACGTGCAGGAACGATGAGGAGTGAAGACGCAGTTTTCCTGCTGAAAAACTTGGTGCATCCATCAGCTGACCTGGAGATGAAACACTGTTTACATGCTCAGGCTCAAATAGCTGCGCTGTTGACATCCAGTTTTTTCTGGGAGTTTAGAGATTAAAAGTTAATCATCTATACACACGCACATTCACACGCACATTATGCGCTTTTAAGGCTGATTCTGATATTTTCAGACATCGTTTGTCTGTTTTACGCCATAAAGTCACCAGATTATAAAATAACAATTATAACCTTTTGTTATTCATAAGAAGTCTGTTGGCCATGTGATTAAGTGAACATATCTGAGTTACAGTAAAAAATTAGGAAATGCTTTGGTGTTAGAGCCACAGTTTCAGGATCCATAAACACATTATGTTGATCCAGATAAACAACTGTATAGGCCTAATAACTGCTGTATTTATGACACTGACACATTTGGAGAAACACCCGAAGCTGCCTTAAACTACTGAATATGTCGGTTGAATAGTTAAAGGAATCGGACTCATCGCTGTTGAAGCTGCATTTCCTTGTTGCGCACTTTATAAAAACTCAGCAGCCTCAGACTTTCTTCTGTGGACAAAGTGCGCAGCAACTAACTGCATCATCTGTCCAAATAAATGTCGACAAAGAACCGAATATAAAAACTTGAATCGCTTTTTTCTGATCTGCGTCGATATTAAAAGAATGTGGTCAGTCACGTGTAAACAATCAGTAGGTCTAACACAATAAAAACACAAAAAGTAAGTTAAACAGAAGCTTTTAGTTACTTACGTGTTTGAAGGCGAGCGAGCAGCAGCTGTCCCACTTTATCTCACCAGAGAAGTTTAACTATAAGCTAAACAAACGAACTACTTCTCTGCTACACTGGCGTCTCAGGCGATGTATTTTCTTTACAACTTGCCTCGCCCAGCTCGAGACTGGGTGAGTCTTTCTGAAAGTGAAAGCATCAGGGGTGTAAAGGCCGTGTAAAGTACTACTGATGACTTACAACTGCTTACACACAAAATCTTTACATGTCACACTGTTTTGTTGACTGGAAAAGGACTGTATATAATTGTTTGTCTGAAGTCCAGACAAGATGTTCCTTTTATTAATTTATTGAAACCGAAACGGAGTAGGTTTGTTTGAGTGTGTGGTTCTACAACAGAGATAAATGAAAATATAATTAGTCCAATCTATATGTATATTCAACTATATTCAGTTTAATGCCAATTATACAATTTAACAACCATACTAAATCACATTTCTGCTAGACATGACTTAACTGGTCTTCAAGACTTAATCCAAAGGAGATACAAAGTCAAATGAGGAAATAATAATAATGTTCATATATAAATATCTACTCAAACCTCAACAGGCAAATAGGTAAATCCAACAATAAGCCATTGTGGTAAATCAGCTAATACTATATAGTATTAAGGCCAAATTAGCTGGAAAGCACTGGATGCTGTAGGCATCCATATAAAGATATCAATTAGCACTGTAATGAACATGGTTTACATTGTGTGACGAACTACAAGAAAATAATCGCCGTTCTACAATATTCCGGGCTCGCAAGGTCACACCTCCCTAATATACAATACATTAACAGGAGCAGTAACAAATGTTCAGCCAACTACTATGCTCCGCCATTACACAGCAACAATAAACGAGAGGCAGTACATCGGGTGAATTTATCATACAAACAAACACAATACAAACATTCTTATGAGGTAAAACTAAATAGCAAATGTCAGGTTTACTTACTGGTTGTCTGCACGCACATAGTCTCCTGGAACAACCAAGTAGCGGAATTTGCATCCCTAAGAATGAGTGACTGGTTTAGCAGGCATGGAGACAAGGCGAGCAACAGGCCTGGTGTAGGTGTTGATTTGGACCACTGCGGTGCTGACTCTTATGTCAGTACCTCTGATACGTCCTAGTGGCCACTGGGCTCTGAGCTGCTGGGGGTCCACTACCATGACTATGGTTCTAGGTTGCATCTGTGCAGGGTCCTTATGCCACTTAGAGCGGGTCTGAAGAGTTGGGAGGTAGTGTCGGAAAACGTGGGACCAAAACTGGTCAGCCAACACCTGAGTGTATTTCCAGCGGCGGCGACTCAGGAGCTCCGACTCTGTAAACATCGCCTGCGGTAGTGGGGGGTTGTGCCGCCCCATGAGGAGTACATTAGGGGTCACTGCAGTATCCACTACGTCTGTGGACACAAAACCTAGCTGTTTGGAAGTTAAAATCCCCTCTACTTTGATCAGTACTGTCCTTAGGACCTCTTCTGGGACAGTCTGAGTCTGTATGATAGCGTACAGTGCAGATTTCACAGATCTAAATTCTTTCTCACAGACACCTCCGAAGTGCGGTGCACTTGGGGGGTTAAATTGAAACTTGATTTGATGTTTAGCCAAATGAGCCTAAAGGGAAGGGTGCAAAGCCTTGAAGGCCTCCTGGAGTTCTCTCTCACCTCCCTTGAAATTAGTGCCCTGGTCAGACAGGAGCTCTGCTGGTTTGCCTCTTTGTGCAATAAAACAGTGGAGAGCCATCAGAAAGGAGTTGGTGTGCAGACTAGACAGGACATCTAAGTGCACAGGACGTGATGTCAGGCACTTTAACAGAATGCCCCATCTCTTCTCGTGGCGACGACCAACCTTCACTGTAAAGGTGCCAAAATAGTCCATGCCCGTGGAGAAAAATGGAGGCTTCAATAACCTCAGTCTGAAGAGAGAAGAGTGGCATGGTCCACCGCCGCCCCATGGCGGGTCTGTGCAACAGCTTCTGTCAGTGATCTGAAAGATGAGAACTGGTGGATGTCTGGCGGCACAGGCGTTGGGGCGGTCATGGTGAAGCAGCAGACAGTACATTTTCGCAGTTCAGAAGAGACAAGAAGGCAGGGCCCTGACTCCACCTGCTGCTACTGGACATTTCCAGCAATGTCTTCCATGATATCATCGGCTAGGTTGTTGGCTGTATCCACATACCTCCAGGCTCGGGCATCGGGCAGCTCCTGGTTCTTGGCCACTCATGTTTTGACAAATACTCTGTACCGACAGAAGTCTGACTGGAGGCATGTTAGGACTGTTGTGGAGTCTGTCCAGAAAACGACATCTCTATTCAATTTCAGTTCAAGTGGCTTTATAACAAATTCACCACAAAAGCAAACGAGTACAATTAAATTGTGCTCAGAAGTGTGAAACCTAGTCCAATATTTTACAGATCTCAATGTTTCATCTTCATGACACAGGCCGGCTAAAGATGGCAGGGCTGTTTTTGGCACTAACATTATACAAAGCACTGAAAACGTAGCTTGTGACATTTTCTTGATCCTGTATTCTCATTGTGACGATGACTATCCCTAACAGACACTAGACATCAAAACAGTTCCTGGTGGTTAAAGACTAACCAGCATCGTGTGAACTGGTTTAGCAAGTCTTTAATGTAACAGGTGTTCATTTAAACGTAAAAGTCCCGCACTCCAGCTTTAACTGTTGTCATTTATCCAATGTTCATTTAACTGATTTGCATATTGCAGTCTGTTTATCTGAGATTTGAATATCTGTTCTGGTGAATTAGGGTTATTTGACTATTTCAAAATCAGTTGAAATAGGTAAAACAGGTAATTTAAATATGATTTAAATACAAGCAGAGTATAGCCAAAATCATCTCAATCTTATTTGAATAACAACATGTTTTTGGCTAGCAGCATATTTAGCATAACCTATTTAATCTATAGAAAACAATGGTATACTAATAAATTTAATCTAAAAGCAAACAAACAAACAATTTTCCAGGGCAATTTTTGAAAGAGTCACAAACAATACAGCTAATATTGTACTTATATATAGGAATAGGATATGTGTACACAGGAAAGCCTTACTACTATTATAAGTGTAGCATGGAGACTGTGATGTTTCCAAATCATCTTTATATGGGGACTTTTTGTACTTTATGGTGCACTGAAAAATGATCTTATGTCCATTTTCCTTTTCTCTCTGCCCCTTAATCTCGCCAATAACACACGGTCATATTAGGCTATACATGTAATTATTAAATTATCTTGCGTTCTCTACATAGTATTTTAGGTTTCGTCTGTGACAGAGGACGTCTCTTACTTAGATATTCGTCTTGTGACAGTTTGACTACGGATTTCTTTTGGGGTGCCAGTCAGGTTTCTCTCCTGACATGTAAGATATTTTATGTTTTTACGCAGAATAATATATTTTACCCACCAAATATCACAAAGGGTACATATACACTTTTATGGACCCTCACGCTGAATGCAACCAGTGAACAATAATAAAAACCACAACTTCATTATGAAATGCAACAAAGGCAACGTGTATTAACAAAAGTGTACAACAAAACAATAAACACAACTCAAATTACCACTCAGGGTTGAGTTCATTTCAATTCCACAAGCAGTTCAGTTCAATTAAAAAAATAGTTCAGTTCAAAAACAGTTCAGTTTAAGTATCATCAGACACAAGAAAAACTGGCTATCAGTTAACAAAGGTTGCTCTGTTGCTCAAAAAACAAATGTTCATCCAATATTAAAAAAACACACACTGCTCAAAAAATAAAACGCAGGTTTGCAGCACTTATGACCCACCTGACTGTTAATGGATTCTGGATCGGTTTGATGGTCATTGCTAAGTTATTAATGACTCAGCATCATCTATATTAAACACAAGACACTTGAGACTTGACTTAGACTTGCATAAAATGACTCGTGAAGACCTCTGACTTTGGCCTGCACACAGTAAACAATATTAAAACACAAAGTTACTTATACTTTTAGAGTAGGTTTGTCAAATAGTAATATTTACATTAACTTGAGTAGGGGAGAGCAATTTTATTTTCAGCAACTAGCCTACAACTTGCTGAAAGTTTTAGCTTGCGTTCTCAAACAAAGTAGGCTACCCACATTTGTTTACTGCACATAGTCCACCCCTGTCAGCAATTGTTCAGCTAGCTGTATTAGCATAGTGGTTTGAAATTAACAGGAAAAAACATCACATGTTGCCTAAGAAACTACATTTTAATCCAACATAAG